GATTAACAATTATAATAAATATTGTATTGAAATAGTTTCCATCTTATGAATTAATTTGGTATGCGCGTTCAATAAGCCTTACTGCTTTCGAACGCTATTCGGTATTTAAAAGTAAAAGATCATTTTGTAAAATGATTAAATAACAAACCATGTTAAGGGGTTAAATTTATGTAAAATTGAAAGATGACATCTGCAGGTTTATGTATCCGAGAGGGCAGCAATTATATATCACTAGTAAATCCTGCTGTCAACAAGTTCAACGGAATATTCTTGTTCGCTCACGAAAAATCCTGAATTTTTTTATCCTTATAAAAGATTTGTATTAACTTTAACGCGGTATAGCAGATGCTCGTAATTTTCTATGCCGCTCTCTTATTTTTACTTCAGGGAAAAGGAAAAGACCTAACTTTGGCAGGAAATAGGAAAAAGAAAAGAGGTAGAAGATATATATTAAAAAAAAGGTTCGTAAAAGAGAGGGAAAAAGAAAGAAAGAGGGAAAAAAAGAATAATAGAAAGAGGAAATGGTATTAGAGAAAGGAAAAGAACAAAGAAAGAAAACAACTTAAAAATTTCCTAAAAAGAAAATTTTCAAGCATAGGGAGAGGAGTGGAAAAGATTTTTTTTTTAGATTTTTTTTTTATAAATACTTGTTTAATTATAAATATATATATATATATAATTTTACGAATTCTTTAAGTTTTGTAAACTGCTTAAACTTTTTGAACTGTTTAATCTATATATTTTAAATAAATAAATTATTATTATTATTAAAAATAATTCAATAATAATTTAATTTTATTATAACATATATAATTTTTTAATAAATTTTCAATAAATATATATAAACTTAATAATACTTGTTTTAAAAATAAATCCAATATTTAATTGAAAATAAATCATTTTTTTTTAAAATAAAATAAATTTATTAATTAGGTTATTATTAAAAAAATATTTAATAAGAATATAAATTTATAAATATTATAAATTAATTAAATTTAATTTATTTTAAAATATAATTTATTTTATAACAATATAAAATACAATTTATATTATTGATTATTTATAAGTTATATTAAAAATATTTAAAGATTTTAATTTGTTATATACTTGAAGGATAAAAAAAAAGCTTAAAAAAGTTTTAAAAATCAAATAATTATTTTTTTAAAGTTTAAGCATAAAGAAAATTGTTTTTTTTTTCAACATATTATTTTTATAATAAAATATTTTTGTTTTTAACTTTATAAATAGATTTTTTTATATTTACTTAAAAATAAAAAAAATTAAAATTATTAAGTAATAATTATATATGTAATTTTATTTTAATATTTGATGCTATTATTATATTTAATTTAAAGAATAATTAAAAACCATAATTAATTTATTTCTTTCAAAAATTGATTTTTTTCTAAACCATTAATGTAAATATATGATTATTAACTCTTTGTTTACATCTTTTTGACCTTATGGTTACACAGAATATATGACACTTGCACATTTAAATAAAATAATATATATACAGTAAATTCTTTTTAAATGCTTACCTTTTGAAACTATAGAAAAATTTTTTAAAAATATGCATTTATAGAGATAATTTTATTAAGAATTCTATGTACTTGGGACTAAGCTTGACTGTGCATTTAGAGAGAAAAAACATAGTAAATACATTTAAAGAGAATGCATTTAGGAAGATCTCTCTGTATAAACTAAAAAGGTTTAATTATAAAATGATCTTAGGTAACAGTTATTTAAAAACATAACGCATTTAATACTATATAAGAAAATGACCGTCCAATCGCGCGATTCCTTTAATTTATTATGCTTTAATGTATTTTTGGTCAAATAGGTTTCATAACTGCGCCCGCCCTGTTTTTCGAAATTGCCTCCACATTTGAAAAGATGTGCAAAGATTTCTGGTATTCACGGACACAATTAGTTCATGCTCGAAAGATTTCCGACAGATACTTTCACATACAGTGCATTTCATTTGTAATTCATTCTTGGACAAACTTTCATGAGCATTCTACGCAAATCATGCCCTGGATTTACCTGTGTTTTAAGATGGTAGCTTTTTATATTTAATATTTCCGCTTTTATCCAAGCGATGCAAAAAATCCAATTTTATCAATCAGACAGAATTTCTTCAACCTTGAATTTTTCTACTGTCTTTGATCGAAGGAGATATTCAAATCCTCATTTTGCATTACTCTCCAAATTATTGTAGATAATGTTTCAAATCCACGGTTATATAAAACGAAGTTTTTACGGTTTACCAGATATTCCAATAAAAATCGAAAAAAAGAAAAAGAAAAAGAAAGTAACCGACCCAAACAAAATCATATAGGAAAGGTCCACCGACAGAACGAGAAAATAAATACAAGTCGGTTGGATAAAGAAACAAACAAGAAACAATAAAATGACTGATCATCAAATAAGGTAAAAAAGTTAACGATTAAATAATTAATGAAGAAGCACAAGAGACAAAAACCGACCTCATGTCTCTCATTTCGCTCTCATGATCCACAGAGGCGAATGTAATCGACAATCTACTCTGATTCGATCATCATCATCGTGTCATCTCAAAAAATCAACTCTACAAGTCGATCTTAACTTTCCTGAAAAATATAAATTTTGTCGAAGCCATTTGAAAAAAAATGATTCATCTGGTCCACGTTCTTCTACAAATACGTTGCCAGGTGAAGCTTTCTGCTAATATCAACAAATATAAGTATACTATATTGCAAATTGCACACTCTGGTAGTGGAGAAATTATGTCATCGGCAATATGTTCTAATAAATCTTCAAAAGTCCTCCATTCAAATAGTTTATCCAACAATTGTGTTCCACACGTGATTTAAGTTAACTCCAAATAAAATTGAACGTATCTACAATGATTCCAATAAAATAGATATTCCACAGTAAAAGATTTACCAAACAAAAACTCCTCTACTTATCGACGGTAGGGACTGGGTGATCGACCACCGGTCCTATAATTTGGACTAAATCCACGCAGGCCAAGGGGTGAAGCACCACGTGCGTCTATAGTCGTACAGCAAAAGAAGAGGTTCAAATAATTAGGTTTTGGGATAATGATGAACGATTGGTCAAAGCAAAATTGTGTACTTACAAGGTTCTGCAGAACGTCTAATAAAAAATTAAACAAAATATTTCTATGGTCAGGACAGAACTAATGAGACGTCTAAAAGAGGAAAAAAAGCTATCACAAACCCGTAATTTTCCATAGCGAGATGTTTATCTCTGCGGTGTTGGTCCTTCTTGCCCAAACCGATGTCCCTTTGAATGAGAAATTAATAAAGATAATCAGGTTAAATCACTAGTGCACTTTTTCGTGTTTCACGTGATAATAAGTAGGTCACATACCAATCTAGCTTAAGACGACGACCTTCTACATTGGTTCCGTTGTACTTGTCAAAGGCATCTTCGGCATCTCTTCGATCTTCAAACTCAACAAAAGCAAATCTGATAGACCAAAAGGAAAATGCATGAAAGAAAAAGAAAGAATACACAATGTAACGCACTTTCGCAGAAGAAAAAACAGTTGACTGAAAGAACAAGTCAAACAAACTCACCCTTTGTTTCTTCCAGTGTGATGGTCGATTTGAACCGTTACTTTCCGTAGACGGCCGTAACGTTCGAACATGTCGGCTACGTCTTGTTCACGGAAGGAGTAAGGAAGGTTGCCAACATAAAGGGTAGTGGAGTCACGTCTTTCCTTGTCGGAACCGCTATTTTTGACATTAAGGGTCAAGATTATTCAAATATAGCGAGAAGAGCTTAAAAGTTTGTTAAAACAAAGTGAGAAAAAAGATATTACCGATCAACAGGCTTGCTTCTCCTTGGTGGGCCTCTTCTTTCAGAACCGTAGGGGTAACCTCTATCCTCTCTGTAGCCTCCGCCACCGCCTCTACTATACCCACGATCATATCGATCCTCTCTAACATACCGATCTTCTCTGTACCTATCATCTCTTCCGTTGCGATAGCCTCTGGGAGAAGGACTTCGACGCCTTGGAGAATAAGATGGACGACGATAGCGAGGTGACGGAGAACGTTCCTTTCGAGAGTAAGGATGGTTGTTACCACCAGAGGCAACCTCCGGATGTTGCGGTGGTGGCGGTGGGACTGAAGATTCTGAACGAGAATTTCCGTTTTGATCCATCTCAAATTGTATTCAAAAGCAATAGTGAATCCGGAAAAGAAGTCTCAAAGACCGATAGTATTTTTATGTAACATAAACACCTATGTTATTGAGCCCTACCAGGGTTGTACAAATGTGACAAGGAAATTCTTCATGTGACATTAGATCTACAAAGTATGTAAGTAAGTACGAAATTGGTGTATCGACAATGGAGACGGGAAACGGGAATTCCGCGTTGCTTACACGCAGTGAAACGCGAATACTTCGAAGGCTTCAGTTGAAGAAACTTCAGGCATACGAAGCTATCGTAAAGTTCGAAAAGTTATCGTGCGCTCAGCTGTTTTCTCTAGAGCCTACACAATATCTATGCTTGGTAAATGTTTGTTCCGGTGGAGTTGGCAGTGTTACAACAGAACAATTATCAGAAATATTTAGTTCGTTCGAGGGTTATACAGAATTGAGATTAATACACGGAAAGGTGAATTTATCTTTCATGCCGGCTCTCATACTCTTTTTTAATGGTGTTTCTTAGAGCATTATGACTTTTCCGTGTAGCCCTATTCGTTTGTTTTATTTGATTCAGCTTCAGCTGCTCTACATGCTCGAAATTCACTTCACGAAAAGCCTTGTGAGTTATTAAATGGAAAGGCGATCTTTATAGAGTTCGTGAATTTGAACTATCAAAATTTTATGAGACAAATTGAGCTCTCGGTCAAAGAATGTATTCCCGGTTTACATTTGTCGGAGGAATTCATATCAGAAGAATTAGAAGAAACCATCTTGAAAAATATTCATTCTGCCAATACGTGGATACCCGTGCAACATCGAAAAGCGGTATGCTTCTGAAATGCGTTTTTGATTCCTTTACATTGAAGCCAATTTTATTAAAATTTGTAATAACAGATGCATTTTGGGCATTCCTACGATTACGATTCGAACCAAGTCGGCGCACCGTCTCCCGAATTTCCATATTACATGCACCCCCTTCTGAACAAACTAAAGACATGTTATCCCTCTGTGCCTGTAATGGAACAACTCACAGTTCAGTATTATCCAATCGGAACCGGAATTCCTCCTCATATCGATTGTCATTCATCATTCGGAGAATACATCGTAGCATTTAGTCTCGGAAGTTCGGTCATCATGGAATTCAAAAATGTAAAAACTGGAAATGTGATCAACATAGACCTGCCAAACAGGTCCCTGCTAATTCTTTCCGAAGAGGCACGATATGCTTGGAGTCATTCAATTCGGTTAGGTTTTTATTGATTTTAATAATCCATTGCACATTCAAAATTTAGAGGTCCTTTTCTTAATTCACTAATTTGATATAGTGCACGAAAAAGTGATCAATTGGAAAATGGACAGGTCAGGAGACGGGGTCAGAGAATCTCGTTGACACTTAGAACGATCAACCCGGGAAGGATTTGCAAGTGTTCATGGATAGATCTGTGTGACAAAAATGTTGCTCACCTGGAATCAAACCATTTTCCAAAAACTCTTGTTCCCTTTATCCCTAGAAGTAAAAATAAGAGAGCGGCATAGAATACTACGAACATCTGTTATAACGCGTTAAATTAATACAAATCTTTTATAAAGATAAAAAAATTCAGGATTTTTTTCAATTTACATAAATTTAATCCCTTAACATGGATTGTTATTTAATAATTTTACAAAATGATCTTTTACTTTTAAACACCGAATAGTGTTCGAAAGCAGTAAAGCTTATTGAACGCGCATACCAAATTAATTCATAAGATGGAAACTATTTCAATACAATATTTATTATAATTGTTAATC